AATTCCACGTGTTAATCACTCTTTGGGTGAAGAAGGACTTCCTAGTGGCTTTTTTTAAACATCAGACACTTTAACAGTACAATCCAAAGGGTGTAACTCTGTTTGGGATTGCACTGTAAATCTAGCCCGATGCCCCAATTCAAAACTAAACTGAAACTGTCTTTCAGACGCCACAGAAATCGTCAGGCACAGATGCATCACAGCCAATGGAGTTTTATTTTCTGCCCCAGCCACAGTCCTGCATCTAATATTTCAGCCGTGCTAAATAATAAATTTTGCCTTCTGCCACGAGGCCATTGCCCACAATACCTGGGAAGCCCTTTGGGAGAAATGCTAAAATGCTTCGTTGTTTTCCATGTGTGTTACGAGAGGTGGTGCTCCCTTTCACGTGTGCTGCTGGCCCATGCGGACTCTCCAGCTTGGCTTTGGCGCACTCGCCCAGAACTACTTCGGGGGCACTGAGCTCAGCAGCAGGGGGGGGTGGGGATCCCCACTTTCACAGCCTGTCGGGCTTGGAAGACTGACACACATGCCAGCTAAGAGGGAGCAGAAGGTGTGGTTTAGGGATCTGTTCCCGGATAGCAGGCAAGCAAGCTTGGAGTGCCTCTAGTAAGCTACCAGTAACCACAAAACAACCAACTCTTTTCCAAAGTAAGCGTTTATTTAGGGGGACACAGAGGTGCAGGAATTCAAAAGGTACTCTAGCATAAGAACCGTGAAATGGTTGCTGAGTGGGGATTCTGCACCAGGTAATGGCCACAAGGAGAAATGGGGAGGTGGGGGGGTGTTAAAGAAGGGGAAAGGAGAGTTTTTAAGAAGAAAGGAGCAAACAAACTGGCTGCTGAGCTGGGCACAGGGCCCGCTGTCTCTTTAGCTGACCCAGAGATTCGGGGGAGGGGCTCTAGACCAGTGATGGCGAACCTTTTAGAGACCGAGTGCCCAAACTGCGACCCAAAACCTACTTATTTATCGCAAAGTGCCAACACAACAATTTAACCTGAATACTGAGGTTTTACTTTAGAGAAAAAACAACTCATACATTAACTTAAGATGATCCAAACAAAGTAAGGAAAGCAATCCCAAATGCTTTCATTTAGTTAAAATTATTTGGCAGAGAATTCAACACTTTAATGGCAGTCTGGGCCTGGCTGGGGCGATGGCACGCGTGCCCACAGAGAGGGCTCTGAGTGCCACCTCTGGCACCCGTGCCATAGGTTCGCCACCACTGCTCTAGACGGAGCTTCCAAATGTCCCCAGGAAGTAAGAAGAAGGTTTGCTGCTGGTTCCG